TCTAATTTAATCTTTAAACTCATGGAAAATGTAACAAGCTCTGCACTGGTGGCGACCCAATCCTATAGTTAAATCCTCTTTGGGAAACTCTCCTGTAACTTTATTTCTCAAAGTTAGGTTCTGGGTGATTTGATAGATGATTGATTTAGGTGGACATTTAGCAGAGAGACCTGAGGAGCCATTTTGATGTAAAAGAATGATAACAAATGAGGTTTTCTTGGTAACTTGGGTTGATAAATGCAGAATCATTTAAGTGTTTAAGTGCCATTCCTCCTTTTTACCTCTTCAGCTCTAAGTCAGTGAGAAAATCCCCGTTATTCTTCTCATTGAAAAGAGGTCAGCAGGTCACTTTAGGGCAGGACAAAAATCAGGTTTGGATGATTCTCTTTTGCTAAAATGAAGAAAATAAACTTTTATTGTGTTTAATAAGAGACAGTTTCACAGCTCTACCTTACATGAGCGTCTGCAGAGGAAATATTCTCATCTGAGTGATGTTAAAACTCGCTCATGTTTCTGCTTAATTAGAGCTTTTCGGTTCACATAGTCCTCATCAGTTTGCATTTTGAGTATTAATACACTCAGCTCTAACATTGCAAAGCTTTTCACAGCTTAAACATATTTATTTATCCATAGAGCTGCAGAAAGGAGATGAATCCAGTCGGTACGTGCGTCTGAGGCGCTGTGAGGTGAGTTTGTCGTTGGCCGCCGCCTGTAGGTCACAGAGCCACCGTTTGATCCGACCTCCTGCGAGGGTCTGTTTGTTTGGGGTGGATTTTGTTGTTGAAACTGAAAACAATAGTTTGTCTGTTCAGTACCGCTGCAGGAAAAAGTGCTGCAGAAAAACTCCCACAGATAAATTTGTTGCACATGCAAAAGAAAAAAAAAATAAATAAGAAATAACTGCAGAATGTTGTATTTCTGGGAAGTAAAAACTCAAACTGGCAGCTTGTGTTTCTTTGTGTCCCACATCAGAGTTCAGTCGGCGCCAAATGTGTTACATGGTTTTCATTTCTTCAAGGTTACGCCTTGTGGAAACTTTTAGAAGTTAGGATGTTAGGAAAAGTGTTTTATTCTAGTACTTTAAATAAAAATGCTACATTAAAAAAAAACATCAGTGCTAACAACATGGCTTAAAAAGTATGCACATTATTTTTTATCTTTTCTGTGTTGTGATATTTTTATTTATCTCAGTTTTAAAAATCATGTACAATTGAACGTCCACTTCACAGTTAGTCAGTGTAGTGCAATAAAAGAATAAACAGAGTAATATACAAACAAAATAAATGTAAAACAAAACAAAAGAACAGCAGCAAAGTATACAACTTAGATGATTTGCTGCTTAACTTGGTTTATTATTTAAATTCTTTATGAATGTAGCAAAATAAGGGAAAATAAAGTCAAAATGTTGGCAAAGCAGGCAGGAAAATATGTTAAAGTCATCCACACAGTGTTGTTTTTATTTCTTGTATCAATAAATAAAATCTATTCATGTAAAAACATGATTGATTGTTATTTTTTTTAATGGAAAAGCTCAGTGCCAACTTAAAGGTCAAGATAACAACTCCATAAATCAATAACAGACTGATTAAGCACCTAATCCATCATCTACCGGACCTGTACGATCAATGCCATCATCCTCCTGTTATCTCACACCATTGCTAATCTGGATTAATCAACAGATCAATTTGTTTACCTGAGCCTTAATTTCTGACAAGGTTCAGAGCTGAAATAAGCAGTTCTTATTTTATAGCTTCTTCCTTTATCATTTCAGATGTTTTATGTTAATTTAGCCTCTGCTAACTATTTAAAAAACGTTTAAAGATTAAAATATTCTGGAGGGTTTTTTTTTTACCTGGACTTTATTAATCTAAATACAGATGCAGCTGCAATAATTAACATGTAGAGAGGTGACTTTATGCAGGAAAAAAATATATAAAACTCAACTCTGAAGGTTTACTTTTCAATAAATTAGTGTTATTGGCACAAACTTGTTCTGACATCAGGTTTCATGTTGTCATTAATGTAGTATTTTATCAATGTATAATGAATTATACTGACTCAGTAGAATGCTGTATCTTTGTAAAGATAATATTTTTCTTTATTATTTTATGTGTATTGCTTGTTTTGTGTGTAAATATGTATTAATATGGATGATTGATGCTTAATTGCTTTTTTATGTTTTTTTTTCTTCCAGCTATTCCTTTTTCATTCAAAACCTTTGTTTATATCAACAAGTGACATGTTAATATTTTAAACTGTAAATGAACGAGACAAATAAATAAATAAATAAATAAATAAATAAATAAATAAATAAATAAATAAGGAGTATATTTCACTGATACCAGAGCAAACCTTTGCGTGTCTCTGGAAAATCAAATCGTGCTCACGGTGCGTCAGCAGGTTGATGTTGAGCTCGGAGCCGGTTCGTCCTGCCGCACTGATGCATTCAGGAACCGAGGCGTTCACCGGATGTTTCAGCTCTGATCCCGAGCCACAACATCACAGATGCGTCAGACAGAAACACAAAACACGCTGGGTGTTGTTCACAGACAGTCAGCAGACAGGTCAGACTGCTGAATATGCGTCTCAGAGAAAACAAAGTTATTTTTATGTACTCGATGAGTTCATAAATTATAACTTGCGAAAACTTTTTAATTATCGTGGGAGCAGATTTAAGGAGTCAGGTAAATGTAGGACAAGGAGATAAGTTAAAAATAAAATTAAAGAAAACAGCTGACTTTGTTTTAAAAACTGATATCTGAAGTGCAAGAAGATTTTGTAAGAAATATTTTTCAAAATGTTCTACACCAATTTACACAGAAAAATGTAAAAACTTTTCTTTGATAAACATGTCATTTATGTATTCATTTAATGAATGGCCATTCATGTAGGTGCCTCCGCTTGAGCCTCCGCTAGGGGGCAGTGTGGCACTATGAATTTTCACAAATCTCCGTTAAACTGGAAAAACCTGGATTCCTACGAAGTAAAGAAAATCCTAGCGCTGATTTCTCCGAGAATCGGCCAGGTCTCTCCTTAAATCTCCGGCCTCACGTCCTAAATTAGCCACAGTTTCCCCTCTCGGTGTGTCCCGCTTTGTGTCCCTCTGGCTGAAGTCACTCAGGCACATGAAGGAATCCCAGGAATGGTCACCTTGTTAGGCTTACACAACTCTTGCCTCCTAATCCCGCGGCCTCGGTCGTTCACTGCTCGGCTTGACGCGGGGAGGCAGAGATAAGGCCGGACAGGTCGGACTGTTTGTTCCCCTCAGAAAGGCAACAAACGAAGGTCGTGACCTGACAAAAAGCAGCTATTCCGGGGCCATATGAAGCTCCAGACCAGCAGTGTCAAACTCATTTTCTTTTTGGGGCAAATCAAAAATCTGAATGTTCTTAAAGGGCTGGTTGTGCCAGAATGTATTGATAAAACCCATTAAATTGTTAAAATATCAATTGTTTCAGCATTCAGTAAGCGTTTTGTAAAATTAAACAATATTGAACATCTTTTCACGCTGATTCTGCATCCAGGACTTTCACAGATTCTGTGGGGTTAATTTAGAAATATTTGTAAGGATTTTTTATTTTTTTCACTAAAGTATGATGTTAAATGAGATTTATTAATCGCTGCATCAATCACTGTCTATAGTTTGACATCAAGTCATCAAGCGGAGGCAGCAGTCACTTTAACTCAAAGTTCATGGTCAATTTTGAGAAAAAAATTTTCAGTAAAATCAGAAAAAAAATGTTTGGATCTGTTGATTTTATGTGAATTTTGCAGATTTGTGAAAAACTGGAGGAGGGCCAAATAAAAGCTGCGGCAGACCAGATTTGGCCCCCGGGCCTTGAGTTTGACATGAGCTCCAGATGATGCTTTCTGCCACAAATGTGGAGAATAAGGTTTAATTATCTTTTAAATAAGTCAGTTTAGTGATATCAACAGCTCCTTTGTTTTTGCTTTAACGTTATTTACTCCACATGTGTGAAACTCAAGGCCCGGGGCCCAAATCTGGTCCGCTGTAGCTTTTTATTTGGCCCTTTAGACTCCAAGTTACATCAATAAGTTCCTCCAGTTTTTCACAAATCTGCAAAATTCACACAAAATCAATACTGAGTTTAAGTGATTTCTGCCTCAGCCTTACTTGGTGTCTAGTTATAGTCCGTGATCAATACGGCGAGTGGTAAAAAGTTACACTTAGCATCATACATTAGCACAAATATCACAAAAATTCCTTGGAAATATTTCCAAATTATCACAAAAACTGTGATTTTGATTGCAAAAACACACAATCACAAAGTCCTGGAGGAACAGCGATTTGTTGATATTTTAACAGTTTAATTGGTTTTATCTACATATTCTGGCACAACTGGCCCTTCAAGAAGATTCAGATTATTGATGTGGCCCAAAATGAAAATGAGTTTGAGGCCCCAGATTTACTGACTGCTGGAGTTATGATCAAAATGCTGCCAGTGTCAATCTAATTTATTTACACAGATCAGAACCATGTTTTCAACAAGCTAATTAAATTAGCTAGTAGCTTCATAAAGATTTGTTTTGAAAGAGATTTAATTATATCATTTGACTTTGATCATTTGTGGTTTGTTTTTAACTAAAACATATGCCGACAATGAAAACACTGACGTTTATTAAAGTGTAGATGTTCATGGCAGCACTTCAAAGAAAAGAAAACTTTAAAAAACTATTCTGCTTTGTGTGGATTTTGGTTGATGACATCACAAAAGGTAAAATAATGGAGCTGAAAACCTGAAGAACGACAGTAATTCAGATTTTATCTTTGGTTCTGAAGCATCAAAGTGGGTCTTAACTTTCCAGTGAATAAGTAAACTTCTTGTTTACTACAAAGGAATATTTATTTTTTAGTTCACAACCATTTGTGAACTAAAAACCGTCTGATTGCTCTTTTCCGTTTTGCTCGTACTTCCAGCAGGACTCATCATGTTATCGTCTACTCACATTCAGACGTAGAGCAAAAAAGCAAAACAAAGTAGCAGAAAGTAACTTTATTTCGTCGCAGCAGGACTCATGAACACACAGTCGCGTACAGAGAGGTAGCGGCAGGAACCTGCTTCCCTCCACAGGCGTCAGAAATCAGCATTTTCAGCAAACAGAGTGCAAATCATCACAGTGTAGAAAAACATTTGATTGTCAGTTCGTCACATCTGAAGAAAATCACTCATCCAGGTACAAAGGAGAATTTTAAAAGTCTCACACTGCTCAGCGCTAACACTCGGATCTGACAGGAAGCGGAAGTTAAATCAAAGATAAGTTTGTACAGAATTAACTAATAATATCTCGTTTAGTGTAAAAACTAACTTTTCCATAAGGCTTATAAACAATACTGAGATTATTATACAAAAGCTGATTAATTAATAACACAGAAAGTGTTAATAACATATAAATGAAAGTAGTTGTGTTACAAAATTGGTCATGAAAGGATACAACACTGTAAAAAAAGACGCGTAAAAGTTCCTCATTTCCCTAAAACCCTCAATAAGCCAAGAATGAATAAATTAAAGAAGCGTCCTGGCAAAATTCACTTCATATTAGGTTTATATTCATTAAAAAAAGGGAAAAGTTTATATATTTCATATACCTGGGTGGTAGAAAAGAGAATATAAACGGCTGCTGATAAAGGCAGTACTGGTTGTTTGGATTGCAGTAGCTGGTTTTCAAGTTTACCACTGGTGGGATGATCAACAATCAACAAAGAAACATTCAGGAGGGAATGTAAATTATCTACACGTTTCATTTCTTCAAATTAAACCTTTTCAATGTCTTCCTTCAGAGAGCTGCTCAAATAATACTGAGTGAGTTTACAGAGTCCAGCGACTGCTGCTGACAGGCAGGTGGAAGCAGAAAGTCCCAGTATTTACATGGATAATTCAGTGTGACATCAACAGTAGCACATGACAGAAAACGTTCATCGGTAGCACATTTAGAAAGTGTTTCCGCTCATAAGCCGAAGCCTGACAAGCCGTTGTCCTGACTGGAGGAGCGCTTGTACCCCGACGAGCTGAAGTACATCTCCCCGTCGGTGCTGAGGTCGTCATCGTCGTCATCGTCGTCCAAGTTGTTGAGCAAAGGGGCCGACGTGTTCTTGCGCCTGCATTGGGTAGAAGGAAGTTTAACTTTTTCACCCTTAAAACATCAACATGGGATTTTGTCTGATGGTCAAGAGGCAAAAATGGTTTTCAATTAAAATAAAAACATGAAAAGTATTGTCGTCTTTCCTCTGACACCGCTAAGTAAAGCTGGATGCATCCTGTCTTTACTCGTGTGTAATTTAACCTCAGTGTAAACCCAGCTGCTCTGTGAAAGAGGGCAACAAGGCTTTTATAGAAACACTGTTGAAAAAAAAGCTATAAGAAATTATTTTTCCACTTTGCCACAAGCTTTATGAAAACAATGAGCGATTATATAGTTCTGCAACCAAAGATTATTTTAGTTATCAATTAAATCCATAGATTATTCTGACAATTTTTCATTTAACCATTTTTTAAAATTTGAAATTAGCGTCATTGGGTAAATAATGACACTTTTAATGCAACTTTGCATTAAAAATGTCATTATTTACCAAAAGACTCTTCATGACAACAGATATAAACATTCATAAAGACTCCTTCATGTTTATAACAGCTGTCATGGCACCCTGCAAATAAAATGTTACCGAGATTTTTTTTTTATCTTAAATGCAAAATATATAAACTCTTTGTACAGTTTTGGCTTAATTACAGCTCTGAATATGTTGTTCTATCAGAAAGTGGACACTTTTCAGTCTATATAGTCCAGTTAACAATTAATCGATTACTAAATTAGTTGATAAATATTTCAATAATCAATTAATCACACATAATCGCTGAGCCCTTACATCAACATGCAGAAAGGCTACATGTGGAGAAAAACACCCTCCTGAATACACCATCCACTCAGTGAAACACGGTGGTGGCTACATCATCCTGTGGGATTTCAGATGATTAGTCCCTGAAAAAGCTTGAATCTGGGTTGTAGAACCAGAAACGGGTGGAACAGCGTAGATTGAAGAAATGGCCCAGTCAAAGTCCTGATATAAATACAGCTGACAAACTATGAACAGATTTCTGTCTCTAAATGTGTGGAGCTGCTGGATTCATGCTTTAATGGGCGTCCATTTGTAATTGTGGAGAGAAGTAAACACAGGGTGAGTTCTTTTCATATAACATCCAAATAAAAGCCCTGCTGTGGTTGGTCCGAACGGATCTGTGTCACTTCACCTCATCTCGCTGCGCAGAGCTTTGAGTTGACTGTTGAGCTGCTCGTTGGCTTCCTGCTGCTCATCCAGCTCTCTGTGCAGCTTCTTCTTGTTGTGCTCCAGCCGGTCGATCGTCTCCTCCGCCTCGTCCATCTGCCGCTTCAAAGCCTTCAGACGCAGATTCAGCTGCAAGAGGCGAAGAAGAAGAAAAAAAAAATCACGTCCTGCGCTTAAAATGATGGCAGGAAGTTCAGCAGACAAAGATCTGACCTCACCGTCGTTATTCAAGAGGAAAACTTAAATATGGATCTTATGAGGGCTGAAACAAAAAAACTAAATTAAAGGGAATAAAAATAAGGTGGGGAAATAAAGGCTTTAATGAAGCAATGAAAGCAAATTCAGTCATTTCTTGTCTTACAGTCAGATATGAAGGAAGAGAAACTTTGAAAAAGTTGAGAACTGTCTTTGAAAACCGTTAACTGTGTTTTACTGGATGTGATTAAGAGATTTGTGGCCGTACTTACTGACATTTAAATGTACCTTAAATTTATTATATCAGATATAAATTTATTATTGGAAATCTGACAAATAAAACAGTTTTGCTGGATTACGGCCTAAACCGTACTCCAGTATCCAGTGGCCACCCAAAACTACTCCAAAGGCCACAAATGGCCCCCGAGCCACACTTTGAACACCCCTGGATGAACCTACTGCTAAAATAATAATTAGTTATGACATTATTACTGCCTGTGTGCTACGTACTTGGTCCTTCTGATCCTGCATCGTGTGATGCTCCTCTTCGATTTGCATCATCATCTCTTTCACTCTCCTCTCCAGCCTGCGGTTGGCCAGCGACAGGTTGGACTTCTCCCTATAACCAATCAATCAATCAATCAATCAATCAATCAATCAACCAGTATAGCACATTTCAGCAACAAGGCATTCAAAGTGCTTCACATCATAAAAACATAAAGTCATGCAACATAGAATCAACAATTGAAACAAATGCCATCGTTAAATCCTTAATCGGTTATTAGTCCCGTCACGATTACTATTTTTGGACAATAAATTGTCCCAGAACTTTTTGCGATAAACGATAATAAAATTGTTGTTTTGAGAACATTTTCAAGTAATATAATAGTAATAATGGATAAAAATGCATGAAAATGTTCTCAAAACAACAATTTTATTATCGTTTATCGCAAAAAGTTCTGGGACAATTTATTGTCCAAAAATAGTAATCGTGACGGGACTAATAACCGATTAAGGATTTAACGATGGCATTTGTTTCAATTGTTGATTCTA